GCCACCACAAGGTAAGTCAGAGTCTCATTGTGCCGTGTGAGTTTGTTAATTCTCTGTAACAGCTCACAAAACTCATGGAAACTATTACCTGTACTTACAGTTACCCATTTATTATAACCAGAGAGGATACAAGTGGAGAGATGCATCTGGCAATATCTGGGAGAGTTCCCTACATAGGATGTCCATTATCCCCACCCTGTCCTGTGCATGGATGTTCTCACCCCTCCAGGAGGCCCCAAAGAGAGAAAGCTCCAAGGTCCAGGGTTCTGTAGTCATTGGGTCCCAATGCATATGTACGACTCAATGAATATACGTGATTGAACGCATCATGTCCCTTTCTGAGTCTTTTGCCAGGGTAGGGTGGAGTACTGCCAACTCATTTGCGCCTTTCAGTGTTTGGCTGTTGTGGAAAACAAAGGTACCTTCATTGCTTGAGAACTCCAAGGGCAATCAACGCCCATGGAAACAGCAGTCAGGAAATCAGTGGGCTCATTGCATCGGGCAAATCTGCTGCAAAAGACCTCTTTGAAGTGTTGAAAAGCAAAGATGTCACTGTAAGGACTAAGGTGTGTCTGACCCAAGCCATGGTGTTTACAATTGCCTCATATCAATGTGAAAGCTAGGCAATGAATAAGGAAGACCAAAGAATTAATGCCTTTGAATTACGGTGTTGGTGAAGAATATTGAATATACAATGGATTGCTAGAAGAACAAACATATCTGTCTTGGAAGAAGTACAGCCAGAATTCTCCTTAGAGGCAGGATAGTGAGACTTTGTCTCACATACTTTGAACACGTTATCAGGCGGGACCAGTCCGTGGACAAGGACATCATACTTGGTAGAGTAGAGGGTTAGTGAAAAAGAGGAAGACCCTCAGTGAGATGGATTGACACGGTGGCTGCAACAATGGACTCAAGTATAACAACGATTGTGAGGTTGGCTCAGGGCTGGGCAGTGCTGTTGTACATGGGGTCGCTATGAGTCGGAACTGACTTGACGGCACCTAACAACAACAACATTTTCAGAAACCAGAGACAAAAGGCCAAGTCCAGTTCTTCGTTCCACACAGGTAGTTAACATCTCCTGGTCTAGTGGTGGATTTGTCAGCTTTTGGTTTAAGTAACTTGAAGCAACGTTAATTGGCGTGCGCATCTAGAGCCATCCCGTCTTCTGGTAGAAGATGCCCGGTCCTTGCACAGCGGCCTCTCTTTTTCTCTAGTAACGGCTTTTGCCTCAAGTTCTAGTTTGTCGGATACAGTTCTGCCACCTTTCTCTCGTTAGTTATTTGCCTGGTGTGTCTCGTTGTATCCTTTTATTTTCAAACTGTCCCTATCTTTAGGTTTAGGTGTCTCATTACCAATTTATTGCTGCCTTTTGTTTTTTAATCTGCTCTGACAGCTTTTAGTCTTTTCACCTGAGAGTCTAGAGGATTTATGTTTCAGATTGCTTACATACTGGGTTTCTATTTATCATCTTATTTTGTACTTCTCCTCTGCGTCTGTTTTATTCTGTGCTTATTGTCTTTTGGTGGGCGGTTCTTCGCCTCCTTGTTTATTTCCACCCCGCTGCTCTGGCAATTACACACTCCACTTGTCCTAGTGGTCCTGCAAGCTTCTTGCACGTACACCTAGCTCAAAAACTCTCACGCCAGTCTGTGTCTTCACCCACCTCACACACGCGGGGAGGATCTCAGAACACTTTAGATCCTCCTGCTAACCCCTGACTTGTTTGTTGATCTTTTGTCCGTTATTGTAGTTCTACCTTGTTTTTTAAGCCCCACAAATTAGATATGAGTGTTGTTTACAGTCAGTATTTGTTCAGATTTACGTTCATGCTTCCTGTCCGCGTTCTTTACAGTCAGAGGTGACCCCATTCATGGTGTGAGTGCCCTTCACAGTGCTTTCGGTGTGTCCACAAATGTATGTTTGTGTCAGGGCTTCAAACTTGTGCTTCCCAGTTCAGCCATGGCTGAGGAAGCAAAACTGGAACAGACCTGAGTTTTCAAAATTTGGGTGAACCTGAACAATAACCGGAATGGGAAAAATTACAGGTCTAAGGCCTGCTGGAAACTGAATCTCCCTCTTAGAAAACAAGGGCAGTGTACATGTTACATGGCAACCAGCTGTCTTAGCCGTCAGAAACACTGGTGGCCCGCTCAAAGATGGCGGCCAACTGCACCGCTCTGAATGTGTGTCGCTCTCCTCAGTCCTGGTGTTAACTCAGTCTCACGCATCAGGCTCCTAAAAGGGCTCACTGCACCCCTTCCCAGTCTCCCGTTCCAGGACTTCAACCTGTAATTTTTCCCGTTCGGTTATTGTTCCGGATCACCCAAATTTTGAAGACTCCGGGTCTGTGTCCATTTCCGTTGGTTGGCTATGACTAAACTGGTTCAAACCAGTTTCAAGTCCTGATTTGTGTACAAATACCTGGTGGCTGTTGTTAACATTGTATGTACCGTTCTACAGCTTGTTTGCCTAACAACACTCTAGGCTGCTTCCGGATCTCCTCCTTGTAACTGACTACGTGGGGCCCTCTGCCGCTTAGTTTTATTTCCTCGGTCTGACTGTTACAGACAGCACTATGGTAGACATCCCTGTGTGTACAGCCTTGTGTACATTTGGGGTTATTTCTGCAGGAGAGTCTCAGAAGGAGACTGGGGGACCATAGGGTGTGTGTCGGGTTAGGATTCTTACAGACACCCCCAGACCACCGTCCCAGAAGCCCGCGCAGGCCCGACTGACAGCAGGGCTGGAATGCCCGTGTCCCCGTGTTCCTGCCAAAAGCAGACATTAGAGGTGTCGTCCTGGGGCTAAAGGAGACTTTATGCTTAAACTTATATTTCCTTAGTTATTAGCAGGAATGAATGTATTTCAAAGTATCAGCTGCTCATTTTCATTTCTTTTTTCCATGGATTGTTTCTATCACTAGATCATTTTTCTATTGGTACTTTTGGTTTTTATTACTGAATTAGATGAATGCTTTTATATCGTGAGTATTGCAAATACTTCCCCCTGGATTCTTGTATCTTGACTTCGCTTTGATGCGCGTGTCCTTAGAGGTTTTAGATTTCATGTCGTCAGATGTGCTTTTCTGTTGTGGTGTCTGGGTTCCTGTTTGGAAAGGCCTCCCCATCTCAAGATTATGATTTTCCACCTTTTAAAGCCTGTTGTTATTGTAGGTGCTGTTGAGTCAATTGTAACTTAGAGTGTCCCCATGTGACAGAGTAGAACTGCCCCATAAAGTTTTCTAGACCGTTACCTTTATGGGAGCGGATCGCTAGGTCTTTGTCCCATGGAGCCGCTGGGTGAGTTCAAACTGCCAGCCTTTTGGTTGGCACCTGAACACTTAACTGTTTGCACCACAGGGGTCCTCATTTTAACTCTAATGCTGTCACTATATATATATTTATATATACACACACACACGTATGTACGTATACAGACACACACATATATACATGTATGTATGTATATATGTAAAGTGTTTGTGTCCTAGTCTAGCAGAGCTTCATTCTACTTGAATCAACCATCAATGTCCACGGAAGCAGCAGTCAAGAAATCAATGTATTGCATTGGGCATATCTGCCTCTTTAGAATCTTAACAAGCAAAGATGTCACTTTAATGGCTAAGGTGCGTCTGACTAAAGCCATGGTCTTTTCAGTTACTTCATATGCATGCGAAAGCTGGACAGTGAAAAAAGCAGACAGAAGAAGAATTATTGTGTTCTAACTGTGGTGTTGAAGAATATTGACTGTACCGTGGACTGCCAGAAAAATGAACAAATCAGTTCTGGAGGAAATAAGCCAGAATGCTCCTTAGAAGCGAGGATGGCGAGATGTTGGCTTGCTTACTTTGGACACGTCATCAGGAAAGACCCAGCGCTAGAAAAGGTCGTCATGGTTGGTAAAGTAGAGGGTCAGGGAAGAGGAGGGAAGCCCTCCATGAGATGGATGGACACAGTCGCCACAGCGGTGGACTCCAGTGTATCTCCTGACGGTTGACACATGCCCACCCCCCACCCAGGGTTCTCCTCCTTGGGATGGGTACTTGATGCTTTCCAGTTCGTTTCCAACTTTGAAAACTCTGGTCACCCCACTAGCCAGCTTCAAGGCCACTGGTCACAGCTGGTAGTTGGGGGGCCCTGAGCTGGCATTTTCTCCCTGAATTGTGGCTTCTCTCGGTCACTGTCTGCTGCAAGGGGGTGCCCAGCCCCAGGCCGCCGGGAGAGACGTGTGCCACAGTCGGTCACGCCCAGCAGGGTCCTCTCTGATCCGTGCTGTGGGGAGAGGCAGGCATTCTGCGGTCTCTGCGTCAGTTTCTCCCCAGACTCCCGTCTTGCACCTAATGCAGCACTCGGCCCTCAGCGGGCGGTTCCTAACCTTGCAGATGCCGTGTGTAACCTCCGCAGGATCGTTTGCTTCTGTGTTTCCACCTGCAAATCGTCCACAGGTCTGTGTGTTCAGCACGCGTGTCCCATGTCCCGTGTGGCATCACAGTGCGTGAGTCTCCTGTGACAGCAGGGAGGCATCACAGGTGGGCAGCTCTGGGAGAATGGTAGATGCCCTCACATCTGCTGGCTGGGGCCTTCTTCACAGACCCTGTCCGTCTCCCGGACCGGGCCCCTTGGCTCTGGCCCGGTTAGTCGTCCCCCGTGACGGAGCATGGGCTCGCCCTCGTTGGTGCCGGAACGTTCTTCTCCCCATGTGGCTTTTTTGTTTCTCCTTCACTTGGTCCCCACTCGCTTTGTCTTCTAGGAGTTCCTGGAAATCCAATCTGTTGATGGCACTCTTCCTTGTTGGCAGTGCCGTCAATCTTGTGTTCTTTCTGTCCCCTGAGGAGTTTGGGGCCTGAGGGAGGCAGGACTGGGTGCAGCTGGCCGCTGTGCTGCGGGCCACGGCGTCAGGACCAGGAGGAGGGCGCCCCGAAAGGCGGGAGGGGAGCAGGAAGCCCCATGCTGCCTGCCAGCATTTTCTGTGTCTGATCAGACTTTCCTCCCCAGAGTGGGCCAGTCAGGCTTTTCGTACCTTACAAACGGCGCAAGAAGGAAAACGAGATGCCTACCACCCCGGTCAAGAAGGATTCTCCAAAAAACATCACGCTGCTCCCAGCCACGGCCGCCACCACCTGTAAGTGCTAGTAAAATGGAGCTCTCTCTTCACTGAGGGTGCCCTCAGCCCACACCCGTGGCCACATTTAGCTGTGGGCGTCTCAGTTTAAAGCAGGCCTTGCAGGCTGGAAGGGTGGCAAACACCCGCCATCTTCTTCCTCTGATGACCTGCCTTTGTGTGTTGTCTTGTTGTCGGGCGCCTCTGGGCCAGGGCCTCCCTGTCCTCAGTGCTGCCAGCTCCCTGGGAGTGGCACGCCTGAGCACAGGGACACACTGATGCGTCCTGGGCGTCCCTGGGATGCAGTGTGCACTCCGTGTTTCCTGGCTGGCAGATGCGGCCCTGTGGTGTGTCCCCAGTAAACAGTTTCTAATGAACTGGACATGGACTGCTGGGAGCCGCTGCACCCGGAAGGTCCATCTTTTTCCATCCAGGCTTTTTCCCAGAAGGTGGTCAGCACAACACCCCCATCTTTGGGTTCCCTCAGTTGTCTGTAGAACTGGCGAGACGTCTAGGCAGGGGGATGGAGGAAGAAAGCACAGAGGAGCGAAGACTTAGGGATGGGCAGGGCCGTCGTGGAGAAATGTGTTAGTAGCAGGTCTTTGTTAGATGCTGTGAGGCTGGCTTTTTGCGCTTGTAGAGACATTTCTCTCTGAAGCGCCCACTGGCCCTCTCACCCCGACCTGTGGGGTGAGCGCAGACGAGCCCAGCATAGTGACGCCCGAGGCGGGTGGCATCCTCAAGCTGCCGGCCAGGAGGGGACACGCCGTGGATGGGCCTCTAGCACGGCAGAGCCAGGGCTTGGGCTGAGAGCCTCTGAGATGAAGATGTTTTTCCTTAATTTAAACTGCAAAGTGTTTTTTAAAGTATTTTAAATTTTGTTTTATTTTTCATTTTCTGATTTGGCAATACATGCACATGGTTCAAAATTCAAAAAATGAAAAAAAGGTTAAGTGGGCACATGGTGGAAGCCTCCTCATCTCCACCCGGTCGCCTGGTTCCCTCCCCGTGGGTGGCACGGTTGCCGGGCCTCACGGTCCCTCACATGGAGGTGTCTGTGTGTGGGTGGCACGGTTGCCAGGCCTCATGGTCCCTCACATGGAGGTATTTGTCCGTGTTTGGGGGACACGGTTGCCGGGCCTCACGGTCCCTCACGTGGAGGTGTTTGTCCACGTTTGGGGGACATGGATGCTGGGCCTCACGGTCCCTCACGTGGAGCTGTTTGTCTGCACGTGGGGGACACGGTTGCCGGGCCTCACGGTCCCTCACATGGAGGTGTCTGTCCAGGTGTGGGGAACATGGTTGCCGGGCCTCACGGTCCCTCACATGGAGGTGTCTGTCCAGGTGTGGGGAACATGGTTGCTGGGCCTCACGGTCCCTCACATGGCGGTATCTGTGTGTGGGGGACATGGTTGCCAGGCCTCATAGTTCCTCACACGGAGGTGTTCACGTGTGGGGGACACATTTGCCGGACCTCATGGTCCCTCACATGGAGCTGTTTGTCCAGGTGTGGGGGACACGGTTGCCGGGCCTCATGGTCCCTCACATGGAGGTGTTTGTCCACTTGTGGGGGACATGGTTGCCGGGCCTCATGGTCCCTCACATGGAGCTGTTTGTCCAGGTGTGGGGGACATGGTTGCCGGGCCTCACGGTCCCTCACATGGAGGTGTTTGTCCACATGTGGGGGACACGTGCAGTGCCCCCTGTGGCCTGGCCCCAGCCTTTCTACAACCCCCACCTGTGTGAGGGCTGGTGCTGGTGGTCAGACGGGCACCCGCACCACAAGCCAGCCTCGTGCCCCGGCTTCTCAGTAAGTCAGGCTCTGCTTTCCAGTCACCGTGACCCCCTCAGGACAGATCACTACCTCTGGCGCGCTGACCTTTGACCGGGCATCCACTGTGGAGGCCACGGCCGTCATATCGGAGAGTCCAGCCCAGGGCGATGTCTTCGCTGGAGCCACAGGTGAGTGGTCCTCGTGCGTGCATGAGACATCCCCCACGAGGGTGGCGTGTGGTGCTACTGTTGGGGTTTGCCTTGGGGGGTGTCTGCAGGCTGACGAGCAGGTGGGTATTGGTGGGGACTGGGTGTGTGGAAGACGAGGCCACGGGCTGCAGGTGCAGGACTGCGTCGAGGGGCCTTGGCGGGACAGCAAGGCCCTGGAGATGTCACAAGGGCAAGGTGTGCCGTTGTTCACCTGGACGAGGGCCTGGACGGTGGGGTTACGGTGCCCGTGAGTCTGTGAGCATGGGGACTGATACAGCCGCAGGGCTGGGGCCAAGAGTCTGTGTCTTCTGAGGTAGCACTTGAGGCCACATGCTCCAGACACCCAGGGGGACGAGAGGTTCCTGGCCCTGCGGCTCACTGTGGGCCCAGGCAGAATTCCCGCGAGGCCTGTAGGCTGCTGGTACCTCCTTTACATCCACTGCCTTTCTCCCTCTAGCCTCGTTCTGTGTATCCACCCCTCCCTGAGGTTTGTGGAAGGGTCTCCCCCCAGCAGATGATGGGAGCCCCTCAATGCTGACCACCCCGTTCCCTCAGTGATGGTGTCACCATCCTGGCAGAGGCACGGCCAGATCCAGGGTCCCCACGGCTCTGCCTCTCCTGACCGTTCTCAGTTTACCTCTGAACACCTGGTCTGCATAGAGTCCGTCCCTCCCTCATCTCCTGCCCGTACCCCATCATCAGTCCTCCTGCCTCCCCACTCCCTCCCCATGACAGCACCACACCCTCATCTCTACACACTTTGCCATCAGACAGGGCTGTGGGTTGAAGATGGGGGCCCTGGAATCAGACACCTGGGGACAGCTATGCCTTCACCGCTACTGGATGAGACCTGGGAAGTCACTCAGCCGCCTGCACCTGGTTCCCTCATCTCTGACAGGCCTAACGGGGTCCAGCAGGAGGTTGTGCTGAGTATCGGGCACATTACCGCCAGCCCGGGTCACCCACGCCAGCCTGGGTCACCTGCTCGCTGATGTGCTGAGTGGTCAGGATAGAGACCATCGGGCCTGCAGAGGCAGAAGTACTTACTGTCCGGCTCTGTGCAGAGTTTGCCAGCTTCGGCTTCAGACTAGCACAGTCTGGTAGAAGTACAGCGTGAGCACGGGGTAGTTGTAACTATTCTGGGAGCCATGTCGCACACAGGAAGAAGAACGGGTGGAACTAGTTCATAATGTGTTCATTTCACCTGGTATGTCCCCGAGTTGTTGGAACAGCTCACGCACCGTGTTTCACGGCGGCGCAGCCTCAGACAGTGAGACGAACACCTGCCGCCACACCAGGTCACCGGGCCGTCTGTCCCCTTTTCACCCAACAGTGCAGGAAGCAGGCGTGCAGCCCCCGTGCAGGGTCAGCCACCCCGAGCCCCACTACCCCGGCTACCAGGACAGCTGTCAGATGGCCCCGTTCCCAGAAGCCGCCTTGCCCACGTCTCATCCCAAGATAGGTAAGCTTGAAGAACTCACCGGGCATCAGAGGCTCAGTTAAACCCGTTAAACAGCAATTCCCCATTGCCCCTTGCCCCCAGCCCTCAGAGCCCCTCCTTGTAAAGCAGGGGTTTGTTTGGGCTTTTTCCCGTGATGCATTAGATAAGGGACCAGCCAGGTGCACCAGCTGCTGTGTCTGTAATTGAAGTTTATTGGCACACAGCCGCGACTTTGGCTTACGTACTGTCTGTGGCGGCAGCCGCAGAGCTGAGTAGCCGCCAGAGAGGCCGTGGGGCCTGCGAGGCCTGGACTGTCCACTCCTGGCCCTTTGCAGGGAGGGGCCCTCCTGCGCTGGGCGGGTGGGTAGGGTCAGCGACTCTCAGGGCCCTGCTGTTTCCAGTCATCTCGGGAGCACGGTGATAACCCTCTCGTTGGACAGTCTTGAGAACTGTAGTCCCTTGATTGTTTATCCTCAGCGGAGGGCTGACACATGCTCAGAGTGGATTTTAAAACGCAGAAAGGTCGAGGAGACTGGTCGCCGTAGAGCCCCTCCCCAGAGAAGGCAGTTAGGCTTCTTCAGGGCCTTTGTGCTACTTGCAGGTCTTGGCCGTGTCACATATTCAGTTTAAAAAAAAAAAATTGTGGTAAAATATGTATAACGTAGAATTTACCGTTTTGACCATTTCTGAGTGTGCAGTTCAGTGTATTCACAGTTATGTCACCATCACCACTATCTAATTCCAGATCTTTCTTATCCCAAACACAGACTCAGCTGAACTCGCTAAACAAGCCCCCTTGCCCCCAGTCCCTGGTCACCTCTAACCTGCTCTCCGTCTCTGTGTTTGCCTCTCCTAGGCCCTCATATAAGCGGGATCACGCAATATGCATGGTCTTGTGTCTGGCTTATTTCACTGCGAATGGCGACTCCAGGGTTCCTCCATGTCACAGCCGGCGTTAGAACGGCATTCCTTTGTACGGCCGAATGAGACTCATTGTGTGTGTCCCACATTTTGCCTGCCCTTCCATCTGTTGATGGACACTTGGATTGTGTCCGTCTTTGGGCTGTCGTGAACGATGCTGCTGTGGGCATTGGTGTACAGCTATCTGTCTGAGTCTCTACTCTCAGGGCTCTTAGGTATATACTCAGGAGTGGAATTGCTGGGTCATAAGGTGATTCTGGGTTTAACTTTCTGAGGAACCACCAGACCGTTTTCCACAGCAGCTATGCCATTTTACATTCCCACCAGCAGTGGGCGAGGGTTTCAGTTTCTCCACATCCTCAATAACTATTACTGTCTTTTTGTTTCCTTATTGTTTAATTCTTTAAAATGCAATACTTGCTTTATATGTAACAGACCAAAAATAATATCCCTAGTATAAAAGGTTATCTCAATCAGGAAAAGACAAACACCCCAGCCTAAAAAGAAAGACAGAAAGCAGCAAGCAGTTAGGATTCGCATAGAGAACCCCTCCCGCTGTCCATCCCAGCCCCGTGCAAGGCAGGCTCCCTGTGCCCTGACTGGCCGCTCCCCCCGCCTCATTTCTGTGGGTGCACGTGTGGTCTCCCATCTTAGAACACAGAACAACAGACAGCCCCGTTACCGTCTCCCTCCAAGACCTCCAGGTCCTCGCCCTTCCAGGAACCACCTGGCAGCCCTGCGCTCTGTCTTCAGTCCCTTCCCTCCCTCTCCCCGCAGGCCGTCCCTTCTCCAACACGGCCACCCGAGGTCAAGGCGGTCAGACCCCCGTCCTCCCTCTGTGGCCCGCACCCTATCAGGTCCCAGGTGCACGTCCCATGCGTGCCTTCCTTGCCAGCTCTCCGTCTCCTCTGCCGGCTCCTCCGTCTTTCCCAGGCTGAGCGTCCTGTCCCCCGTGCTCCCTCTTCGTTGTCCCCTGAGCCCCTGGTAACCACAGTCTGTTCACTGTCCCTGGTCTCCCTCAGTTGGAATTGCACAGTATGTAGCTCTGCAGCCTGGCTTCTTTGACTCAGCGATGTGCATTTATGGTTCCTCCATGTCCTTCCCAGGTTAATAGCTCATTTCTTTTTAGCTCTGAATCATATTCAGTTGTATGGATGTACCAGAGTTTGTTTCTATAAAAATTTGAAACTATCTTAAACTTACACGTAAGTTGCAAATATGGTACAAAGAAGTATTTGAGTGTAAGTTGCTGACGTCGTCCGGAATGCATTTGCGTGTCTTTCCTGAAAGTGAGGATGGCCGTCGGAGTCAGGAGTGAACACAGGTGCCCCGTCTGATCCCTGGTCCCCGCTGTGCAGCTGTTCACACTCTGTGGTCACTCCATCCTCTACCTGCACCTTTGACGAGTCTTTAATTGAGGGCCCTTTGAAGCTAGGGAATGTATTAATCTCTTGTTTTATTTTGCTTCCAAAACATTCTAGTGTTGACATCCCTGCCCGCCCTGGCGGTCCCACCCTCCACCCCCACCAAAGCTGTGTCTCCCACAGTGGTCAACGGGCTGGAGATGTCGGAGCAGCGGAGCTGGCTGTACCTGGAGGAGATGGTTAACTCCCTGCTGAACACGGCGCAGCAGCTGAAGGCGCTGTTTGAACAGGCCAAGCAGGCCAGCTCCTACCGAGAAGCCGCCGTGGCCCATGCCAAGGTCCAGGCTGACGCAGAGAGGAAAGAGGTAAGGCCAGCGTGGACACATGGGGATCTGTGCCGCTCCCTCGGTGTCCTGGGCCGGCTCCTGCCCCTGGCGTGTGGTGGCTGCCTTTGCTTACGTGGGGAAATCGGAGGACCATCTACACATGACACTTACCTTGTAGATAAGTGACGGCTGCTGTTGGTAAGGTGTTTTTGCTTTTAGTGAGATTGGTTTATTGCAAAAGAGAAAAAAATTTTATGCAGTTAAGCCACTATTTTCTACCACTCAGCTGTTATGGCCGTTATTCATACTGGCCACTTTTCTCCAAATGGTGGGAGCGTGTCTTATGTTTTATTCTGTTTGGAACAAAATCATCTGGTGTGCCCATGAGTGCAGGTGGTCATCGGGGGAGGCTCGTCGTGCTTCTTTACCCGTCCCCTTCCTTGTAGCTAAGCCGTGCCCATCGGCCATCTTAAAGCGCCTCTGAGCCTGTCTCCTCATCTCTGGGGAGCTGTTTTGAGTACTTCACATTCTGGCTTCTGGAACGTTCCTCAGCAGGGTCACGAACCACGTTTCATCAAGGTTCACAAAGCACTGTGCTAGAAACTTTCTCCTGCAGCCTCATATTGTTGCGGCATAAACAAACTCTCTCCTACCCCTTTGATTTCTTACTGAGCAGTGGAGGCTCACCAGGTTACTTGGGGCTAAAAACGTCCAGGTAATGCAGTGGTCAGGCTGGGCCAGCATTAGTATACCAAAGATAAACTACTAGAGTTAGAGTAATGCGGAGGAAAGCTGTGGTCACTGAGCTACTTTTTGTAGCTTAAGCCCAGCACGGGAGATACTGTGTGTTGCAGGGAATTGGGCATGAGAGGAAAGGACCCAGGGTGTGGGGGTCTCTTCTGCTTGGCACAGACAGGACTTCACAGATGGGAGTTCTGAAGTCTGTATGACAGAATAGTGGTGTATCTTTTTTTTTTTTTTAACTTCAGCTTTTTCAGTTATGGTAAATGTGGGCTTTGGTTTATACACAAAAATGAAATTAATTTTTTTCCCACCAAATCTACATAAGAAATTTAGGTTTTTCACTAATTGCTACTTTTTATAGACTAGAGCAGAGAAGAGTTTCTCAGATTCTTAATTTTCTAAATCATTTCTTAATATGTGATTACTTTGTTTTCAAGGAAGAAAAATGTTATTTTAATTTACAATGCTTTTTTAAAAAGTGTAATTCCAAACTAATACATACTTAGTGCTAATATCTGTAGAAAACAGAAAAGCCTAAGGGCAAAACAAAACAAAATCTGTAATCTCTTTATCCAAAGATAATAACTGTTAACATTTTGCCGTGAGTCCTTTTTTTATATTTATTAATTGAGGTAAAATTTATATACAGTGAAATGCCTAGATCTTAAGTGTACAGTTCAATGAGTTTTGATGAATGTATACATCCAGTCACAATTCAGAACACTTCCGTCCCTCCAGAAAGTTCTCTCGTGCCCTCTTCTGGTCAGTCCCCACCTGATAGGCACAGACAAAAATAACCATAAAACATGATTTCTGTTGACAGAGATCAGTTTGGACTGTTCCAGAACCTCATGTAAGTGGGATTTGCAGTATGTACTCTTTTGTATCTTGTTTATTTTGCTCAACATGACACTTTTGAGAGTCATCCATGTGGTATGTATTAATAGTTCATTCTCTTTTATAGTTGAGGAGTATCTCACTGTATAAATATGCTACAGGTTTTTTAATCCATTCTCCTATTGATGGACACTTAGCGACTTTCCAGCTTGAGGCTATTACGAATAAAGTTGCTGTGGACATTCTTGTACAAGTCTTTTTGTGGAAATCTGTCTTCATTTCTCTCGGGTATATACCCAGGAATGGAATTGCTGGTCATAGTATAGATGTATGTTTACCTCTTTAAGAAATTGTTTCCCAAGTGGCTGCATCATTTTGCATTCCCACCAGCAGCGTATGGGGGTTCCAGTTGCTCCACATTCTTGCCAACACATGATAATATCAGTCCTTTTAACTTGTATCATCCTAGTGGGTATGTAGTGGTGTATGATACTGGTTTTCATTTTTATTTCCCTGGTGACTAATGATGTTGAACAGCTTTTTATGTGTTTATTGGCCATTTCTGTTTTTCCTTTGTGAAATACCTGTTCAAGTGCGTCAGCACGGCATGAGGGCAGTATCTGACCTCCTCTAACTTCACACGGGGGAAGGAGAATCAAGATCAACAGCCCAAAGCTGATTCCTATGTGGCAGGGGTCGACGTGCCTCCTATCTCCGCCATCTTTACCAATTCTAACACCAGCCGTCCCTTCCACAGCACTCTCTATTTCTTTGCTGGGCTCGATAACTCGTTGCAATGGCCACACCGAACTCATGGACCATACTTACGATTATGGGGTTTATTAGGGAAGTAACAGGTTACAATTCAGGCTCAGGAACACTAAAGGATACAGTTCTTCCATCAGGACAGCCTCTTCCCAGCTGTGCTTGCAGCGCACCTTTCCCTGGCCCTCGGTCTCTGCCCAAAGGTGCTCAGCTTTTTCACTCCATGGGCCAGGAAGCCCACTGCGCTGTCTTCTGCAGGTCTCTTCTTCCTTGGTGGTGGGTCTCTTCTGTTTCCTGCCTCTGGGGTGGCTCATTTCAAGCCCAGCAGGGTGGCAAAACTGACCAATCCCCTTGGTGGGCCACAATTACCCTGTCACACAGTCCCACCCAACCACTTTTGTGGGAGTATAAGACCGTGGCTAGAAAGGCCACACAGAAGTGATCTGTGGCACCGCTAGTGTTTTACCCATTTTTTAAATTGGGTTATTTGTCTTCATTATTAATTTGTAGGAATTCTTTTTATATGCTGGTACAATTCTTTTGTCAGATACGTGTATTTTTCCCAGCCCATGCTTACTTAATCATTCTCTTGTTGGTGTCTTGTGATGAGCAGAAGATTTATGTTTTGATGACCTCTAAGTTATCAGTGCTTTGTTTTATGGTTATTGCTCCCTGTGTCCTAAGAATCTTTGCCCCAGGTCATAAAGTTATTCCCGTTTTCTTCTAAAAGCTTTTATTGTTCCAGCTTTCATGTTGAAATATATATCCATCACCAATTAAGTTTTGTGTGTGGTATGATGAACGGGTCAAGGTTGATTTTCTTCCAGTTCCAGTTCTGTTCGTGGATGATACATTCCTGTCCTCCACTGAATTGCTTTGAGACATTTGTTGAAAGCCGGTTGGTTTAAATATAGATCTACTTCTGGACTTTGACCTGGGTTATTTAGAAGTGTGTTTAATTTTCAGATATTTGAGGGATTTTCTAGATTTCTTACTGTTAACAATTTCTAATGTAATTCTTTTGTAATTAGAGAATAAACTCTATATTATTTCAATTATTTTAATCTTATTAAGACATTTTATGACTCAGTTTGTGCTTTGTCTTGGTGAACAAATATACGTGCACTTGAAAGGAAAGAATTTTCTTTAGTTATTGAGTGTAGTGTTCTAGAATGTCATTTGGGTCAAGGTGCTTGATAGCGTTCCTATCTTCTACATCTTTAGGCTAAAGAGTTTCCTTTACATTGCTTGTAGCATAGGTCTGCTGCTCATGAATTCTTTAAGCCTTTGTTTATCTGGAAATGGCTCTATTTCACGGTTATTTTTGAAGGACACTTTTGGGCAATATAGAATTCTGGGTTATCACTCCCCCCCCCCCCCCGCACTTATGTAAGATGCCATTCCACTGTCTTCTGGCCTCCATAGTTTCTGATGAGATGTCAGCTGTCATTCGTATTGTAGTCCTCCTGCACAAAATGTGTCTTGTCTCTGGCTGCTTTCCAGATGTTCTCTTCCGTTTTTGTTTGCAGTAGTTTGGCTAGGATATGCCTAGGTGGTTTTCTCCTTATTTAGTCTTCTTGGGGTTTGCTGAGCTTCTTGTATCTCTAAGTTGTTTTTCATCCAGCTTGGAAGAATTTTAGTCACTACTTCTTAAAGTACTTTTTCTGCCCATTTTCTCTCTCTACTCCTTCCAAGTACATGTATATTAGATAGCATGGTATTGTCCTGTAAGTCACAAGACTCTGGCCTCCCCCCACCAATCTTTTTTTCTTTCTGCTCTTCAGATTGGATAATTTCTATTTCTCAGTCTGTAGCTTCACAGATCCTTTATTTTGCTGTCTCCAATATGCTGTTAAGCCCATCTAGTGCATTTTTTAATTTTAGTTATTATACTTTTTAGATTTATAATTTCCATTTGGTTCCTGTAGCAGTCTGAATCCAATAGGAGAAACAGTAGGTTAAACAAGGGAAGTTTAATATAAAGAATTATCAACTGTGATAAAAGAGTAACTGTGAGCTATAAGGAGCCCTGGTGGCGCAGTGGTTAAGCATTCAGCTACTAACCAAAAGGTCAGTAGTTCCAATCCACCAGCCACTCCTTGGAAACCCTATGGGCCAGTTCTGCTCTGTCCTGTAGGGTTGCTGTGCTGTGAGTTGGAATCGACTTGAGGGCAAAAAGTTTGGTTTTTTTGGTGTAAGCTATAAGGACACTCCATATGGCACCCTATGTCTGATGGAAGGTACCCAGGAAAGAACAAGTTTGGCAAGGGACCCCCTCTGCAAGGCTGAGGTTCAGACCTTTCTAGAGAAGTTGTGGTTCAGCTCACAAGGTACCAGAGAAATTTGCTGTTTGGGCCGGTTGGAGCTGGCCTAGAGTTTATAGGCCAGCAATAGGCAACCTTTTGGAGTGAAGATCAGGGAGCAGGCCATCAGAAACTGGTGATACGGACATGCAGTGGGATTCTGGGTGCTTGTGAGGGCGGGAGGCCTTTAGAGCAGTGGGCCACGTGAGCTTGCAGAGGGAGTCTGGGTGCTGGCATTGGTGTGTAGCCCTCAGAGTGCATGGAGGCTCTGGTTTCCGTGTTGAGAGGGCTGCAGAAAGGTTACTGCCAGGCTGAGGCCGCAGGGTTGCAGAGAGACTGTGTTCTGGGCCCGTGGCTGAGGCGGCACTCCACTGGATGTCCTGAAGTGGC